TATTAATAAATGTATTAAGCTGGGAGCTTTAAGCCACAGGTCCTGCACCAGCACATAGCCCACCACAGCAGCTTCTGCTGGAGGCCACATACCAGGCTAGTGAGAAGCTTTGATTTAGACAACAGTGTGGAGCAAGGTGTTTCCAGCAGTGTTCGGAGTGTGTCTGGAGGAACACAGATAGACTGATTTGGGGGAAGTCTGAAAAGACAGTGTCTGCTCCTCTGGCTTCTTCCCCTTGCTCTCAAGTCTGCAGTATTTCATATACTTCTGGAAACAACTTCTCAGTTATAAAACATTAAAGCCCAGTTTCTGAACCGTCTTAGAACAGGAACTTCCAGCCTTCAAGCTCAGTGAAGAAATTGAGGCTTGATATGGGAGAAGATGAGAAGAAAAGAGCAGCTTGTTCTCATAAAACACCTTTCCCTTGCCCACTAAAGAAAGGCTACATGAAGGCAAAAGGCTGAAGACTTGAGTGCAGGAGCCAAAGGCTCAATCCTGCACCTCTGCCACCTGGGCAAGGCAGTCTCATCCCTTTCTCTGAGCTATGAGTTATTGTAACATATGTGGGCCTGACTTTCATGGCTTCCTTGGTGCTAAAGATGTAGCAGGGATGGTGGGACAACCCAGCCTCAGGTGATGATGGATCCTGGCTCTCCAGAGTTGTGAGCAGGGTGCCAGCAGCCCTTCTACCCTATTCTGGAGGGACAGCAACTCCAGCTCCTTCCTGCCAGGCTCCATCTCTCGTGCTTTTGAGGAGCACCAATACACTGTCTTCCAGAAGCATAGAGACTTGGCAAGCAGAGAGGGACCTGGCACTGTGGGGAGTGACAGTGGCACTGGATGGGACTGGAGCAAAATACCCCTTTCTGCTTCTCCCTGAGGCAGGAACATGACCCACAGGGATGGGAGACTCACATCCAGAGCTGGGCACTAACAGGCTAAGTCCTCCAAATCCTGGCATTGCCCATGGAAAGGCAATGAGAGGAGAAGGTGTCATCCAGCTGCAGGCAGTCTATGCTGACTGATCCCACCACTCTGCAGCTTGCAGAAAATCTTGGCAAGGAGTAAGAAGCAGGCGTAAGACACATGGCCATGGATGCGTAATGCAGGTGGCCGAGGGAGAGAGCAACACAGAAATGTAGACGTTGAAAACAAAAAACAGTATTTCCCTTTTTCTCCTGACACTGAGCACCGGCAGGGGAAACATCCCATTGTGACATCACGTGCTGGTGGAAGGTGATGTCACTGAGCAGCAGACTGTGATATCACTGGGGGATGCATTGTGACATATCATCCCTAACTCCTTATACTTATCTGTGGGCAGAGCCTCAGCCAGTCTGGCTCCAGCCTGAACTCCATCCAGGCAGGACTGTGAGGTCTGGAAGATCAAGCCAGGCTTCTCTGGTGCTGAGTGTATCTCAGTGCAGACCCAGAACAATCCCTCCTGTTTCCCTGTCCCTGACTGATTCCAGCAGTTGGGCACTGTGCGTGCTTGCAGCAGTGAAGGTTGGCTGTGTGGGACAACGTCCCCTGGGGTGTTCAGGTGTCGGTGATGGGGCTCAGGGAGCTGGGAGTGTGTTGTTCTTGAAGGGCCTGGACAATTCTTCGTCCCCTTCCTGGGATACTGGTGACTATGGCATCTCCCTCCTGTGGTGTGTGACCAGGGAGGGCAAGCAGCTTCTGATCCTCAGCTCTGCCCAGTGCGCTGCAGGGCACAAAAATGGCTTCTGAGACAGACGGCAACTGCTCCATCTGCCAGGACACTCAGAAGGATGTGGCTTCTGCTCTGCCGTGTCACCACCGTTTTTGCCAGGGCTGCATCCTGCGGTGGACACACATAAATCCCGTGTGCCCACTCTGCAGAAGGACGATAGAGACTGTCAGGTTTTCTGATGACTCCCTGGAGATTGTCATCACAGCCCCTGATGAGCTGCCAGATGCCATCAGCCAGGCAGGGAGAGCTCCTGATGGCCCTCAAGGAAACAGCCCCCATTCCCCTCCACACGGGACAGCACCTCAAGCTGTCGGTGGTGTCCTGCCTGACCTCTGGGCAGAACTTTTCCGTCGACAACAGCAACTCCTGGACCCGCTGCGGCCCTGGCTGCACCAGAGGCTGGAGACCATCTATGGGGACCAGTGGTGGCTGGCAAGGAATGCACAGAGCAGCATCCTGCATGCCCTCTGTGTCTTTGGTCCAGATGTGGAGATCATGGTCCAGAGGCTGCAGGACATCCTGGAGGAACACACAGTGCCACTGGTCCAGGATACCATCAACATCATTGTTGGCCAGTGCAGTGAGGAGGCCAGGAGGCTGCTGCGTTCCCACGCTGCTGGGGATGAGGACGACAGCCCAGCAGCCAGCACCAGCTCCAGCAACTCTAGCTCCAGCTCCTCCAGCTCCAGCTGCAGCAACTCGCGAGAGGGGACTCCCACTAGCAGCCCTGCAGTCTCTGTGGAGGAGGAGGAAGCTGGAACAATGGAGGCCTTCCTACCCAGATATCACAATCTGCCGCACCTTGTGCCTGTCCCTGCAGAGCAGGACCAGCCCCAGGAGGAGCCAGGGCAGGCAATGACAGTGGCAGGTCCCTCTGCCCACGGCAGCACCTGCAGCCCCTCCACTCCCAGTCAGGGCAGGGACCGCTCACCTCAGGGGCCCTGGCGCCCCCCAAAGAGGAGGGCCCTCAGCTCCCAAGACTTTCCCCAGCCCAGCAAGAGGTCACCCCGCCGGCAGCAATAACAGGACTCTTGGAACTCTTTATTCAAGGAAAACCAAATAATTTTTTATTTCATTCATGCAATCTCTAGCTGCTGTTTTCTTCCCCTTTCTGGTGCCCTTCCCTTTCCCCTTATGGCCCCCTCGCTGAGGGACACAGCCTTGGGCCCTTGAGCCCCCGGACCATGTTGGTGGTGTTTTGTCTCACAGGAAATCCTGCTGCAGCCACGCACCCACTGTTCTGTAGTGTGAGGCAGAAATGTCTCCAAGAATCCAGTCCTTGCTGCTTGAGGAGAGCTTGATCTCTCTCTCACTAAGTAAATTACTAAGGAAATACTCTCTTTCCAAAAAGTTTTTCTGAACAGCATTCTCTCTACACTAACGAGTGGATCACAAATAGAACCAACTGTTTCACCAGCAGTTATATGGGCAGAATTTACCACCCAGACTTTTAGAAAGCCCTGTGTCTAGGTAATCGGTCTGCTGCAAACATTTCTTATGACTGAAGTTTATCCATCAATCCAGAGGCAAGTACTTTTGGCAATCTGAGTAGGAATTCATCAGTTCTGCTTCACTGCCAGACTATGGGACAAGCTGGTTGTGTGAAGAGAACTTTACAAGTTGCAAATTAAGCAGATGCTAAATTGACTAATATTGCAGAGATATAGAATGTGAATCCAAAACCCTGCCAAAGTTGCTGGTATGTGGACTCTGCTGATGGCTATCTTAAACTTGAGTCTTCTCACAGCATTAGGGAAAGATCACAGAATGGATGTGGGTGCAGAGAACCTCAGAGGGTCTCTGGTCCAAGCTTCTGCCTAAACTGGGTTGGTGCTGGGGTTAGACCAGGTGCTCAGGGCTTTGTCCAGCTGGGGCTTGAAACCACCAAGCAGAGAGATGGCAAAAACCTCACTGGGAAAGCTGCCCCCTTCCAGTCTATCCTCATAGGATAGGGGAAGGAGGACCCTGGTCTCCAGACTGAACTGCCCAGTCTTAGCTGAATTGCCTGCAGTGTGGGAAGGCCTGCTGCGACAACGCTGGGAGGTGGAGGCTGATGTCACCAAGCTGTGAACTGTGATATCACCAGGTGATGGATTGTGACCTCACTTCCCTCACGGCTTATCTTGGGGAACCTGGGGGACAGAATGCCTTTTGTGCTGTCACTGGGTTTGGAGGCTGATGTCACTGAGGAGTAGATTGTGACATCACAGTGTATTATGACATCTTGTCCCTGTCTGCTTCTGTGTGTGCAGAGCTGGGCCTGTCTGGCCGCAGGTTGAACTTCATGTGAGCAAGACAGTGAAGTCTGCAGAATCAAGCCAGGCTTGTCCAGTGCTGGCTGGCACTTGGCATTGGCAGATCTTAGTGCCAGTCCCAAGGCCATCACTCCTGGCCCTGCCTGGTTCAGGCAGCCGAGCACTGTGGGTGTTGGCAGCAGTGAAGGTTGGCTGTGTGGGACAATGTCACCCCAGGGTGGCTGAAGGGGTGCAGGGAGCTCAGAGGATGGCCTTCTCAAGGGACCTGGGCATTTCTTCCTTCCCTTCCTGCCATAGCCATTGACCATGGCCTCTTCTTCCTGCAGTGTGTGACACCAGTGAAGGTGAACAGCTCCTGATCCTCAGCTGTCCCCAGTGCGCTGCAGGGCACAAAAATGGCCACGGAGAGAGATGGCAACTGCCCCATTTGCCAGGACACTCGGAAGGACGTGGCTTCTGCTCTGCCCTGTCACCACCGTTTCTGCCTGGGCTGCATCCTGCGATGGGCTCAGAGAAATCCATCGTGCCCACTCTGCAGAAGGACGATAGAGACTATCAGGTTTTCTGACAGTGAAGACGACTATCTGGAGACAGCCATCGCAGCCCCCAAGGAGCTGCCAGATGGCAGCAGCCTGGCAGGGACAGCTCCTGACAGCCTGGATGAGAACAGCCCCTATTTCCCTGTGGCATCCCATCCATCTTCTCCACAGGGGACACTATCCTCACCTGAGCAGAGGGCCTCAGGGCTGGAGTTTGGGGGTGGCCTTCTTCCTGAGGTCTGGGCAGGACTTTTCCGTGAACGGCAGCAGCTCCTGGACCCTGTGCGGCCTTGGCTGCGCCAGAGGCTGGAGGGAATATACCGGAGCTGGTGGTGGCTGGTTGAGGCCGCAGAGAGCACCATTCTGCACGACCTCTGTGTCAAAGGGCCAAACGCACAGGCCTTGATTGAGGGGCTGGAGCCTCTCCTCGAGCAACACACAGCACTGCTGGTCCATGGTGTTATCAGCATCATTGTGGGCCAGTGCAGCGAGGAGGCCCAGAGGCTGCTGCAGCGCTCTGGTGCAGTCAGAGACGAGGACAACAGCCCTGTGGCCAGAGCCAGCTCCAGCTCCAGCAATTCCAGGAACTCCAGCTCCACCAACTCCAGCTCCAACTCCAACAGCTCCAGGACCAGCAGTTTCTGGGATAAGACTCCCACCGGTGGCCCCAAAGGCTATAACTCAGAGGAGGAAGTTGGCATGTTGGAGGCTGTTTCTCGCGGGGGTCCCAGGCATCCCCCACCTGTGCCTGTCCCCACAGAGCAGGACCAGCCCCAGGAGGAGCTGGGGCAGGCAATGACAATGGCAGGTCCTTCTTCCCAGGGCAGCAGCTGAAGCCCCTCCGCTCCCAACCAGGGCAGGGAGTGATTGCCCAGGGGATCCCAGCACCCTATAAACAGGAAGGTGCTCAGCTCCTAGGACTCTCCTCAGCCCTGCAAGAGGCCACCCCACTGGTAGCATCAGCAGAGCTCTTGCAACTCTTTATTCAAGGAAAGGGAAATAAATTGTTATTTCCCTCACGCAGTCTCTCTTGCTGCTTTCTCTCCCTTCTGCTTCCTTTTGTCTTTCTCTTGTGCCACACCCATGGTGTTTTAGACACCAGACGAGTCACTGTGAGGTCGGAAACACCTTGAAGGGGATTCAAGGAGGTGTATGCAGAGCAGAAAGGGATGGGTTGAACCTCACAGAGCTGAGGTGATGTCCCTCATGTCAGGTCCTGGAGCCCACGTGGGGAAGCCCTGTCAGTCACAAACACCCCTGGAAAACTTCAATACCTCACAGCTCTTGAAGCCCCTAACCCAGCCTCAAACTGGCAGGGACAGTGCCCTTTACTCTGGCCTGGAGCCCCAGAGTGTCCAGTGGGTCATAGGCCCCACCTGGCAGGGCTTGGCCATAAGGACCAGAGCAGATAAAACCAAAGGCATATGTTTGCCATGCAGTCGTGGCCCTGTCATCTGGACCTGTGAGAGCTGGTAGCTATATAATCTCTCTCTTCCTTTTGCCAACCTCCTTTATTTTCTTCCCTAAATTATCAATAAAAGTGCCTCTTGGGAACAAGTATGTGGCTTATTCTCCTGACACTATCTCGAGGTGTTGAAGAACCCTCTCTCTGTATATTTTAGAGTAAAAAATCTAGGGTGAGCCCATGAGCTTATGGCTCCAGGGCTGGAGTGTTATAGGGTGGCACCCATGTGGTAAGGGACACAGCCATGAGCCCCTGGAGCCCCAGGGCCATATTGGACGTGCTTCTTCCCATAAGAATTCCTGCTGCAGCTGCACAGTGCAACAGATTCCAAAGGTAGAGTAGGCAGCAGGGGCAGTAGGGCTCATCACAAGACACCAGCATCAAGCAGGGAGAGCTGGTAATTGCTTAAATACCTTTTGGGGGGGATTACAAAGTGACAACTGGGAGTTCAGGAGGTCTTACAAGCAACCAATGATAACAAAGGGTTAACAACCAATAAGTAAGCTTTCAGGTATCTCTCAGGACATTCCAAAGTAGAGATAAAGACTGAGAATCCTGGGAAGAAGAAAGGTTTACACAAAAAGTTACAACACCATTTTGGAAGCATGTTCACTTAAACAACGTTAAAACTTCTGCGTTCTTTTATATGCTGCAACATATGTCCCAAAAAAATAAAATTGTTTCAGCACAAATTTATGTTATTGACAAGATTATTGAAGGAGACAGTAATACCTTAGGTTGCAGTTCCTATTAAATCTTGGAAAAACACTTTTAAAGACAATACTCTTCATTTCCTATTAATACAAAGGCTGGAGTTGCCCACTTTGAGGGAATTGACTGAAATAATATGTCAAGTAGATACACTGTCTTAGGAGAGTAGAATAAAAATTACTTATTGCAAAAAGAAATTAATACAGTAGTGTGTAATGAGAATCATACATCTGGCAGAGGCACACATGACTGAGGGTAATGGGGACCCAGGACTTAAAACAGCAGAGGGGTTGTTTTGTTCAGTTTATAAATGAGCAAATTTTAGAAGCCACATTGCCTTGCAATAAGACATAAAAAAACTACTCTTTCAGGAAGGATAAAAGATTTATTTTAAAAAATATTATTCTTTTAAAATATTTTAATATAAAAGGTAAAGAAGAGGAAGTATTTTGATTTTTAAAGAAAAATATTTTTAAAAAAAAGGTAAAGAGAAACAACTATTTTAATTTGGTAAAGAAATCCACCAGTGGAATGGATAAGGGACAACTTCATTGTCAAATATTGTAAGTTATTTTTATTGGAAAAATAAAAAAGGGAAACAGTTATTTTGGAGTCACTATTTACTTTTCAGAATCAATCCTGCTCTGTTTCTCAGAGGTCTAGAAGTGCATACTCTCTGCCTTTGAAGTACAAAAGAAACTGGCATTTCACCTGAAACATTGTTCCAGTATTTTTTAAACAAGAACCTAAGCAAGTCTATCAGCTTTTTTATTTCCTTTATTTTCAGTATCAACCTTTTTATTTGCTTTTGCTGGTTTGAAAGCAGAGCCATTTCAAAGCCAAACTCAGCTCATCTCCAGATAGAAGGCATTCAGTTAAGTCTTTTTTACAACCAAAATCCAATGCTTGTGCCATAAGTGGATATATTCATGGTGCAGAATATGAAAGACTTACAGGAATAACATGGGGAGAAGTTCTTGTATGTGGGAATTCAGGATAGCAGTGCCATGAGGGGAAGATTAGAAATCACTGACATGGGGACATGGACAAGGACACTTAGATGATATTTAGAGCTATTTGTGCTCTAATTGTGGAGTCAGACTGAATGAGCAGGGAGACATCAGTGCTAGTTCTAGGCCAGCTGGTGGTGGTTGTGCTACCCTTGAGCCGAAGGTTTACTTGTTCTAAAAAAACCCAAGGGGGAGTTTTTTTTCCTTTCCTCTACATCAATATAATAATGGCCAGTCTTCATGAGCGAAGATCTGGGGAAGGTCTTTACACCTTCCAGCCTGCGCATTGGATTTTTTAGGTGAGACACAGTGTGCGCGGAACTGAGCCCACCCTTTAATCCTAAGGTTCATCTGCCGGGGCCAAGCGAGCTTGGACGGTGGCAGCAAGGATGGATTGCCTTTAAGGGTCAGGGCCTGGTCAGGGACATTGATATAAAAGAAAGATATTGAACGAGGGAGGGGAGGGCATTTGCCCAGGGTGATTGACACCCACAGAGGAACTAGCTAGCAGACCCACATTCTAGGCTGGTAGCCTTCAGAAGACTGGGGGTGTGGGGGAGGAATGAGCTGGGTTTTTTTACCTCGAGAAACAACAGGCACTTCAGTTTTGCCCTGACTCAGGGAGGGTGTGTGTGTGAAAAGGCTCTGAGTTTGCTTTGTTTTTGACCAGGTCATCTGGCTGCTTCTGGCCCCAGTTCACCTACGTTCTGCCCCCTGTTCTGCCCCCAACCCAGGCTTGTTCAAATTTCATCGGAGAGACTTGGCCCTTCTGTGAAGGAACCTTTGGGGGAGTCCCGGCTGGAGCCAGCCGCTGGCAGCGTGAGTTCGTGGGGAGAACCCCTTTTTCCCCTTTGCCCCCTGAATGTGGGGGAGAGATCTCCATTTTCTGCTTCTCCCGCGCACCGAGGCCGCCCGTGGCAACTGCCAGAGCCCAACAGCCCCCCCTGCCGCCCTCACCGAGCACCTGCAGGCTCTACTTCTCCAGAGATCCAACTGCGCCCCCTCCAGATCATGGTTAGAATTGCGCCAAAAGGCGAAAAGTACTGAACTGTTTTTTTGGAGGGAACTTTGGATGCAGGATTATTGTTTCATTGGTTTTGTGTTCTTTTGTTGTTCTACCAATACATATATATCCTTTAATGAAGGGCTGTGATGTTTTCTTTCTCCATACTTCTTCAATTGGAGCCTCTTGATTTTGGATTTACAATTGCTTGGAGGAAGGAGCTTGGTTTTCCTTGTGGCTCATCCTCCTTAGCAAAACACTTCACTCTTATTAAACTGAGACACCTTGTTATGTTTGCTAGAGCCATCATATGGCTCTCAGGGAGCAAGTGATCATAGGTGGAGTAAAGGATTAAAGTGTGTTGGTGTAAGCATTGAATGCTCAGTTATTTCTGGCAAAGGACAGTAGCAGTGAAGAGGCAAGGCCATGCAAATCATGTGTTACTTTTTTGCCTTTTGCCTAAGTCTTTGAGGATCCTTGGCTTACCTGGCTCCATCCTGCATTTCTAAATGGTCAGAATTGCTGCTGTTCAGTTCATCCCCAATAGTCCAGGTCATCCAAGGCCCTGAGTGACCATTCCAGCACAAAACTTTCTGAAAGTATGTACAAACTACCTTTTATCTTTTGCATGTCCAAACAATCATCCAAGGTTAGTATTTCTGCCTCTGAATCACCAGCTGTTCACAATTGTCTTTCCTGTGTATCAGCAGATCAGTGCTGCAGCAGGAATCATCACTTTAAAAGGCCAGATTATCCACCTACAATGTCAAATGACATATTTAAAGTTCTTCTAGTCACAGCAGGAGCTGTCTGGAGGGATTTCTTAGGACAGTTGGAGCTTCCCACCCAGAGAGCTCCTACATCTCTGAGTTATGAAAATGGACAGAAGTAACTCAGCCACCCAGTATTGACCCAGTCCATTTTTTATCCAGTTCATTTTCTGATCTATGAAAATAACTAGAAATTAACTTTCTGGACCATTTAAAGGACTAATGTCTGAAGCTTATCAGTTGTGCATACAGGTGTATCTCTGGTACTTGGTAATACCACTATTGTAATGAAATTACTATTTACAACTCTTTCACAGCTTAAGTCCCACCTCTCTTGCCACACTGGAGGGTAAATAAAGAGGCTTATCTTTAGCTTATCTTATCTAAGGAAGTCATTAGTCTCAGATGCTTGCAGTGACTCTGCTTACTCCTCGACAGATGGAACTGTCAGCAAAAAAACAGCTCTGGATTTGTAAAAATCATTCAGGCCCAATAGACTGGATTTTCATGATGAATCTGACCTTCAGACATGCCCCAGCAGCAATACTACATGATGGAAGGAAAGCAGAGACAGCAGATTGCACAACAAAAGCTATTTGCTTCCCTCATGGGCACAAATTAATTGAACAAAACAAGGTTTACCTGTTTCTCTGTCTGCCTACGGCCTGCTGCAGGTTCAGGTCTCAGGCATGATTCTGGCACCTGCAAGGATGTCAAATGTCAATAAAGGAAACTCAGAGGATGTGGTTGTTTTCTACTAGGTCAGGTGTTTCAGAAATTATTCTTGAGGTGGAAAATGCTACTGTACAGAGTGATGAAAACCTGTAGTTCTACCAAGGCAAACCTAATCAACTACTAGCAATCAGGGGAAGACC